GGGCATTTGCCCCAAAGACACAGATGTAGTGAAAAGAAGGGCCATATGCACCCCAATGTTCGCAATAGCCAAACCATGGAAAGAACCGAGATGCCCTTCAAGAAATGAATGGGTAAAGAAGATGTGGTCCATATATACAATGGAATATTACTCAGCCATCAGAAAGGATGAATACCCAACTTTTACATCAACATGGATGGGACTGGAGGAGATTGTGCTAAGTGAAATAAGTCAAGCAGAGAAAGTCAATTATCATATGGTTTCACTTATTTGTGGAACATGAGGAATAGCATGGAGGACATTAGGAGAAGGAAGGGAAAAATGAAGGGGGGGGCATCGGAGGGAGAGATGAACCATGAGAGACTATGGACTCTGAGAAACAAATTGAGGGTTTTAGAGGGGAGGGGTGTGGGGGGATGGGATAGCCTGGTGATGGGTATTAAGGAGGGCATGTATTGCATGGAGCACTGGGTGCTATACAAAAGCAATGAATCATGGAACATGGCATCAAAAACTAATAATGTACTGTATGGTGACTAACATAACATAACAAAATAAAATAAATTAAAAAACAAAAAAAGAAATGCAAACTGCAATGACTTCAAGTTGGCAAATGTTTTTGGTATTTTTCTACGTACCTCTGGAGAAAAGAAGATGAATGTTGGCCTTCAAGTGCTTACAATCTATGAGAAAGGTTTAGACGAGGTCTTAACATTAGTTTAAGAAAACAGTGTTTTTCTGCGGTGATGCATTTACCCCAGAGAAATGAAAATACATACATTCATACAAAAACTTGTAGATAAATGTTCATAGCAGCATTATTCATAATAGCCAAAAAGTAGAGAAAAATGCCCATGAACTGATGAATGGCTAAACAAAGTGGTATATCCATCTATATAATGGAGTATTATTCAGCAGTAAAAAGGGGCCATCCCTGCTGGGGCTGCTTTAGCCTTATTTGCACGATCTACAGAGCCCAGTGGCATGACGGGTTGAAGGGTGCCCCCACCTGCCTGCTCTGTCCCCCCAGTACCACAGCCTGGACCTGCAGTGCCTTAAGTGGGGGGCCACCCAGCCCAGGCAGACAGCTGGGAATGCACATGGCACAGATTAGGTTCTTGTGAGGTGTTACTGCTGTCCCAGCAGCAGCAGCTCTGGTCTTCAGCGTTTGGACCCGGGAGTTACTGATGAGCAGTGGTTCTCAAACTTGGGCATACATCAGCCTCATCTGGAGGGCTTTGTAAAAGGGCACGGTGCTGGGCCCCATCCCTAGACTTTCTGAATCAATGGGTCTAGTGCCAGGGCCTGATCGTTTGCATTTCTAACCAGTTCCCAGGTGATGCTAATGCCGCTGATCCAGTAGGGTGACCAACTTTTGAATTTGCCCAGACCAAAGGGCGTTCCAAGGACCTGGGAACTTTTGGTGCTAACACGAGTAAAGTCCCCTGCACACTGGGATGAACTGGTCACCTTGTTAAATCCATGGGCCACACATTGAGAACGACTGTTTAAGGAGAGGAGATCAAATTTAGATTCGGAAGCATGACAGGGAGGGAACAAGGATGACCCTCAACATTGTGGCCTAAGCAAGTCGGGCTGTGGTTACCCCAGTGGCTCCCAGACTTGGCTGCACGTTGGAATTACCTAGAATTAAAAACAAAACAAAGCAAAAAACACTGTTGCTGGCACCCCACCCCCAGATACTCCGATTTGATTGGGATAAAACGTCCCCTGGGCAGCAGGACGCGTAAAGCAGGCCAGGAGATTCAAATGTGCAGCAACATTTGGAGCCATTGGTTATGCCTTCTCTAGAGTGGAACCCAGGAGGAGGGCAGGTATGTGGGCAAGTTGATGAGTTTTAGGTGTTCACGAGCCATCGGTGGTTCTCCGCCCCGGCTACACATGAGAATCCTCTGGGGGGCATCGTGGACATACTGGCACCTGGGTCCCACTCCAGCCATTCTGACTGAATTGGTCTGAGTTGGGCCTGAGCGTCAGTCACTTAAAAATCTACCCCGTACATACAATGGAATATTATTCAGCCTTAAAAAAGAAGGAAATTCTGACACGTGCTACAACACGAATGAATCTCGAAAACATCATACTAAGTGAAACAAGCCAGCCACAAAAAGACAGATACCGTATGATTCTACTTGTATGAGGTACCTGGAGTAGTCAGATTCATAGAGGCAGAAACTGGATCGGTGGTCGCCAGGGGCTGGGGGGACCGGAGACTGACAAGCTCTTTCATGGGTACAGAGTTTCAGTTTTGCTAGATGAAGAGAGTTCTGGGGATTGGCTGCCCAATACTGTGACTGTACTTAACCACTTTCAGATGGTTAAGATGGTAGATTTTATGTTATGTGTATTGTATCAGAAAATAAATATTTTTAAAAAGAAGTCATGAAAAAATAATCTTGCCAGGGGTTTCTGAGCTGCGGCCAGGGCTTTGGAAGTGCTCAGCCAGCAGGGGAATTATCGATAAGCCCGGTAATTCTGCACTGAGGAGCTGGTGATACGCGTTGAGCAATTATGAATAAGAGAATGGTATCTATTCCAGTCTAGCTTGGGTTCGCCTTCTAGTGCTCTCTTCTTCGGAGCAGGTCAGGGAGGTTGCTCTCTTCTTTGGAGCAGTTGCTGGGAGGTTCACTTCCTTGTATCATGATCTTTATTGTTGCTTGAAGATACTTCATAGACTGACAAAATTCCCAGGAGTTTATTTGCTTCACAGATGTGTGATGAACTGTGATATTAGGAAGTTTTGTCCCCCCCACCCCGTGCTCTGCCAAAGGCATCCCTTTCTTTTTTTTTTAATTTAAATTCAATTAATTAACATATAATGTATTATTTGTTTCAGGGGTCCAGGTCTGTGATTCATCAGTCTTACACAATTCACAGTGCTCACCATAGCACATACTCTCCCCAACGTCCATCACCCAGTTACCCCATCCCCCACCCCCTCCCTCCAGCAACCCCCAGTTTATTTCCTATGGTTAAGAGTTTCTTATGGTTTGTCTCCAAAGGCATTCCTTTCACATGAGCTTTTGCTCCTGTGGTCAACATGGCAGTCTTCTCCTTTCTCTCTAAACCTGGGTCATTAGAATTGTGCCATCTGCGTCCCTCCCACCTTCCCAAAGGAGGGAGATTTTAGCCCTCCATCTGTAGTTGGAAACAGTGTTTCAGTTTGGAATCTGCCCTGTGAATGGATTCCCCACTGGAGAGAAGCAGAGATGCTGTGTAATTTCATAATTTCAATGGCATTCAGCAACCCACACAGAATGGACCTTCTGAAGGCTCCGTTCTGGATTCTCCTGTAGGTCTTGACAAGGTTTGGTATACAGGGAGCAGTCCAAAATCGCAGACTGTAAGAGAGAGGACTCATTATCAGTTGGAGATGCTGCGGGGGGCACTGCTTCTCAGTGACTCGTCTTCTTATGACATTGGGACGTCCAAAATGAAGCCCAGGCTGGGGGAAGAACTTGGGTCACAGAAGGAAATTCGCCTAAAATCAGGCATTTAAACAAAAGACTTCGTAAGGAGGCTGGCATTTGAGTTTAGGAGGATGGCATTCAAGGCAAAGCCAAGAGCATGAGAAGAGAGTTCCGAGAGTGGAACGCCAGGCACATCATCAGGTTAGGGGGACTCAGAGCGTGGGCAGGGAGGAAAACAAAGAATTCACTAGGAAAAGGAAGGATCGAAGGGCAAAAATAATTCTCACCTGTAAATACATGGACAAGCATTTTTACATTCACTACTACCCAAATAGAAACATTAAAACCAAAAGGACAATGTATAATTTTTTGCTCTTTAAATTGACAAAGCTTTAAAAATTCATAATACTCCGTGTTGGGAAGGGCATGAGTGAGCAGCGATTCTCGTTGGCTGTTGGTGAGCGTGTGCACTGGGACGAAATGTCCACATGGCAACTTGGCAGTTACATCAGCTTTATACATGCACACAGCTACGTGCACGCGGTACGTATGCATGTGTGTATGTACTCTTTACGTACACACATGTATGTTTGTGTGCACACAGACGCCCGAACACACACGTGCTCTTTGATCCATTAGTTCCACTCCGCTTAATGTATCCTGGGGAAAAATTCGGGATATAAATAAAGATCTAGCAAAAATGTCTAGAACAGGAAAATACTAGAAACAAAGCACACATCCACCAAGAGAGGATTCGTTAAATAAATTCTGGTTCCTGCATTCAGAGGAATACTATCCAGTAATTTAAAAATACTGCTGCAGGAGAGCATTTTACCTTCTCTCCTCCCAACCCCTGCGGGGCATGTACACGTACCCATCCCTATCAGGCTTCCCCACACAGGGACTTGGGGGCGCCCTCCATCTAGGGGGATATAGCTGAATCTGCAAACGGGGACACAAGTTTGGTTTGTGGAAGCCCCCAGGTGATCCTGATGTCCCTCACTAGGTTGAAAAATTACTGATGTAAAATTCTATTTGCTGGTACGGAGAGATGTCTGGGATGCATTGATTGAAACAAGCATACAATATGCTATCGTTTTTGGAAAATACTTACATGGAAGGGAAGCACTATGGAAAAACATACAGCAAGATATTTACCGCTTGTCTCTGGGTGGTAGTACTACGGATAATAATTCCCTCGCTTTGCCTGTCTGATTTTTCTGTTTTTTCAATAATGAGTACATACTGATTGCATAATTAAAAAATTTTTTCTAAACAATAAGAGGACAAAAATAGGTTAAAATAAAAATATGCAAATGAAATTGTCTTTGTTTCATATAGTTCCTACAAACTATTGCATTCTTTGATTTCAAGAAAATAGAGAACAAATATTGGTAAAAATTTTATGCACTCTTACTTTTTAAGAAATTGGGCGCTGTACATATTTTGGGTCCCTAAAGAATCACTGAAAGTTGATGGCAATTATTGATTCTATCAGTGACTGACTTTAACCTCCTTTTTTTTTTTTTAACCTAGCAAAACTGAATTTAATCAGTTCCTGACAAAAGAATGCAGTTTATGCTGGGGGTTTTTTTGCACCTTGGTGAGTATTAGTTGTCAAAATTCATTTTCTGCTTTTACTGAATTGTTCTAAAATATTTAGTAAAAATGTTTTTTAAACATACCCACCTCTTTTTTTCTGTTCTATATATTATCATGGTTCTTCTGTTGTATAATTGTGTCCAGCAACTAGAAAATTCCACTCCAATATGTTTTCTATCCACACATAGCTATTTCAATCATCTTTAATGGAATATTACTATCAGCAGATAAGTAAGTTAAGATACCGAGGAAAGTAGAAATACTTTCAGATTCTTAATTTACAAGTAGAATGCATTTTAATTTTGAAATAGAGGCCTGTTTGAATGTGGCCCTTGTTCCAGTAATGAGGTCTTGTGAAGAACTTACAGGCAAAATGTCCTCTTCTGAGTAAGCCGCAGCTCCTTTCCACTAAAGGGCCAAATCCTCCATGCCTCTGCCATCTTTAATAAACTGAGAATAATTTACATTAGTCATAGAGAGGATGTTTCCAACAATTATTCTCTTTGATCCTGACTTTTCTATAACAGTCCTGCTTTTAGTTATTACGTACTGACTAAATTGCTTAGAATCTTCTCTTCAAAGATTCATGCTGAATTTCTTCATGGCAGCAAACTTTCAGAATTTCATTTTTTAATGTTGTTAGCCTCAAACCCTGAGGCAGTCTCCCAGTTAGATTTGCTGGTGGTAGAGGAAAGAAGAGCTCAAAGTAGGAAATGCTCATTTGTTCTCTGTTGAAAATTCTCTGCCTTGGAGAGGTGAGCCGCAAGTCACTGGGAGCAGAGACTCGTTACTTGCCTCCCCCAGGACAATGAAACTTAGATCTGGCCTCAGATGGCCAGAGAAGAGCTGTTTCCTTCTACATCTGCCTCAGATGCTCTCTTTGGGACTAAACTCGTGTTCAAAATCAGAAGCAACCACTGAGGATCCCTGAACCTCTGTGTAGGATAACTTCCTCACACCTTGCCAAAATTCTAAATGACAGCAAGGTTGCTCAGGGACCCCTCTTCAATCAGGAGACCTTTCTCTCAGGATGAAAGATCTTCAAAATCAAATTAGCTTGGGCAGAAAAGGACCTCAGGGCGCCTGGCTGGCTCTGTGGGTGGAGCGTGCAGCTCTTGATCTCGGGGTTGTAAGTTTGAGCCCCAAGTTGGGTATAGAGATTACTTTTTAAAAAATTTAAAGAAAAAGAAAAAGACCTCACTACAGTAGATCCTGGGTTTCCAACCGTAAGCTTACCCTGATCTAACCCAAGTCTCTAGGGTTGCCTATGGTCAAACTACCAACCAGGTTAATCCTACATATCAGCTTGGGCATTTTCTGGTTTGTAGTTCAACCACAGGTATTTATATAAAAACTGGAGCCTATTTAAGCCCTTAGACTTACCTTCTGACTAAGGAAGATTAGGAAAAATAATCCTAATATGTGTATTGGCCAGGTTTTAGGAACTACACACAATGTACAAACCCTACCTAACATGCATTCTTTATAAGTTTTCTTACCCATAATAAGTAATGTGTGTATGTTTACAGCCTCTAAACTCCAACATGATCTCTAAAGTATATGAAAACATCCCACGTGTTTAAGAAAATGAAAACAATATACAAAATGAGAGATTATATAATAACGGTTATTTCTACAAAATGATCTTTCACTTTACAGAACATTTGCCGTGCATTTTCTTTAAATGACCAGATCTCCTAACTTCGTGTTTAATCAGATCCTATCTTCAAGATGCATGTTGTTTTTGAGGAATGCATTGATTCTCTAAAGACATAAGCATCTTTATTCTCTGAATCAATTCCAGCCTGTTGCTAATGTGATAATCTGGCAGTTGAAAACTCTAACCCAAGAAGGGTATTGCTAAGGCTATCTGTGTTTGGGCATGAAGCTTTAACTGCTTATGTTGCTAGCCACTTTTTGCCAAGTATTTGAGGCCGGAAATTCATATTCTCATTTAGACTATTACATGAATAATAATAGTTCGATTTCCCTAAGTCCTCGGATACTTTTATTTCTGAAAAGTACACATCTGATCAAAACAAGTTAGGCCAAGTCAGGTTATAAAAACATGTTAAATCTCTAAGGCAGCAATTCCAATAAAAGAATTCAGGATGGAACTTGTCTAGAAGACTAAATCCCTGGAAGGGAAGTCTTAGCTAATCCACACATAGCAGCATTAGCAGAGATTTTTATACCTGACCTTGTCTTTAAAAGCCTCTGTCTTTGGGAGTCCAAACTTCTGATTGGTTATTTATCCTAGAGGTCAAGTCGAGGAAATAAAAGGAGATCTGGGTTTGGATTGTTGGGTGAATAAAAGGAAAAATCCATGTTAACCAATGTAGGATCATTTATTATACAGTGAAATGAAAGTATGCAATGGTGCTAACTTTTTTCACTTGTCTATCTTCAAGAAGGAGAAAGCACTGTTGTGCCTCTGTTTTGGAATAATAGTAATCTTTGCGATGAGAGTGAAGACAGAAAATTCCTCGTCCAAACGAGTATTTGGTAACCTGCGTAGAAGGAGACCTTATGTATCATATTCTTAGCTGTAGAACTATGATCTATGTATTAATGCCTGATAATAATCACAAAATGACCAGATGACTAGAATAGTTCATGTGGGGAATGTGGACATAAGAGAAAAAACATTGCTTTTCAATAGCTTCTATTTTTGGACAAGTTGAAGGAAAGAAATCCATTAAATGCAAAACAAGACCATAAAAAAATTCTTATTGTTTTACAATTGAGAAAGCTGGAGAGAAACCAATCTTATTCTATAGTATGGGAATAGTTTTCCATTTTATGCCCATCCCTCTCACTCCCATCTGCTGGAATCAGGGCTTGGCATAAATCTTCAAGTCTCAAGGGAAAAGTATATAAGAGCAGCTAGAGAAGGCCATGTATGTGCATATTATCTTAGAGTGTAGGGTTTACTTGATTCACCGTCCAGAGGCTGATGGGGTGATTTTGAAGGGGCAGAGGATTCTGTGGGGTTTTTTCACTTTTTATTTTGAGATTATTGCAGGTTCTCATGCAGTTGTAAGAAATAATACAGAGAGATCCCATACACCTTTCACCTAGTTTCCCCCAATGGTAACTTCTCGTGTGAAGATAGTGGGGTATCACAACCGGGCAATTGACAAGGTTATAGTCCTTGACCTTGTTCAGCTTGTATCAGTTTGACCTGTGCTCGTGTGTGTGTATTTAATTCTATGCAATTTTATTAATGTGTCCATCACCAAAGTTAAGATACCGAACAGCTCCATTACCCTCAAGGAGCCCTAGTACAACCCTTTTCTATCCACACCCTCCTTCCTACCTCCCTAATCCCTGACAACCACAAATCTGTTCTCCATCTCTATAATTCTGTCATTCAAGAAATGGAGCCATGCAGTGCATAACCTTTTAATTGGCTTTTTTCACTCAGTGTAATTTGCAAAGTTTTAATTTTGATGAGGTCCAATTTCCCGATTTTTCCTTGGACAGATCATGTTCTTGTAGTCAATCCTAAAATGTCTTCACCTAGTCTTAAGTCTCAAAGTCTTTCTCCCATGCGTTATAGGAGTATTATAGCTTTACAGTTTTATATGTGCACTGAAGTCCAGGATCCGTTTTGTGTTAATACTTGTATAAGGTGTAAGGTTTTGGTTACAGTTCATTTCCTTGCCTGTGGATGTCCAGTTCCTCCAGCCGTATTTGTTGAAAAGGCTACCCTTCCTCCATTGAACTGCCTTGGTGCCCCAAAAATCAGTTGGGCCTATTTGTGTAGGTCTGGAACTCCATCTCTCACAATATCCCAAAGGGGCATGATTTGTTCCATGGTGAATCCAAACCCAACAGTCCAGGTTATAAACGGGGTCAATTGAATTTACATGTTTTAAGAGAAAGTCGTTTCCCAAGGATTTCTTAAATTCTCCGATTGGTTTTGTACAGGTTGGAACAATAAGTATAAGAGGCTGGATTAAGATTTTCCTTCCTTGTGTCTATGCACTTTATTTGCCCTAAAATGACACATAGAGAATTTCTAGTACATACAGGCTGTCTCAAGTCAGGTTTCCTAGACGCAGAGCCTGAGACAGGGATTTGTGTGTCCGTGATTTAGTGAGGGAGGGCTCTGAGGAGTAAGAGAGTGAGGAGAGGGGAGGCAGGATGTGGTGCCAGCTGGAGGGGGGCTTCAACCTCCTCCTGTGAAAGGTTCTGAGCACAAACCACACCACAGAGTTGCTCCCAGCCTGAGGCAATGGTGCCAGCCTTTTGAACTGTGTATCCATCAGTCACTGACTACAGGCTGGCCCAGGTGGGGACATGAACGCAGATGGTATAGCCTGGCAGGCTAAGAGATTTCCATTAGGCCAAGGGCACCAACAGTATCCAATGACCAGAAAACCAGAGAACTGGTTTTGAAAATAAATGGGACTATTAACTTTCCAACTTAACCGCTTGCTTCTTTAAGCCTTCTGCTACCCTTTGACTGCCTTCTGTGCAGCCATGTCTGTTGTGTTCAAGGGTTGCTCGGTTACACGAAAGCCCAAGATGAATGCAAAAAGGGCTCCTGTCACCCCACCACCGGTGATCTCCTGGTGGGTCGCAGCGCACAGCTCACGGCTTCTTCTACCTGTGGGCTGGATGGAGCCCAGAAATACTGCATTCTCAGCTACCTCGAGGTGTGTTTGTTCTTTGTTTATTTGTTGGGACATTATTGAGTCGATGACATAGATTTTTCTAAGTGTATCGGGGGCCAGCCAGGCAACATGAAAGGAGGACACGTCACCCTTTCCTGAACGTCAGAGGCACAGGTGATATGATTCCAAGTCCAGAAGCCCTTGACTGATCAGAAAAAAGGGAAGATCTGCTTCATCTCTTTCTTTTTACCTTTAGAATTAGAAAAGCCTCCTTGGTTCAGCCTTCGAAGGGAATTACTATGCAATGTACTGTTCTATTTAACTGCATTAGTGACTCCTAGAGAGTAAATTTAATTGACCCATCAGTGAAGATTGAAGATCCCTCAGGGTCTCAAGGCCATTACACTGAATGTGAGTTCTCATTGTCCTGCCTTGGGTGGGGGGGTGGGGGGTAGAATGTTGAATTGATGGCATGCCAGCCTCACGATGCCACTTGGAAATTGTCTAATAGGCCAAAAGATCCCAATATGAACATATTTTCGTGCCTTTTTTTTTTCCCCCTTAAAGACCAGTTCTATAAAAGGACCAGCTGCTTTACGGTTTTTTCCTTCTCCACGCTCTGGGAGCAGAACAAGCATCCAAGGTCATCTGAGTATCCTACCTGCCGAGGAGCCTGGGGCAATCACGTCAACCCCTTATTTAAGAGGATGTGCAGGAAGGAAGTTGGACATAAGCCTAATGATTGCGGCCCAGGCTTTTCCATGTATTGTTCATTGAAAGCAGCTCCTGGAGGTCTCTGGGAAATGCTTTGTATTCTAATTGGTTTCTAGTAAAAGAGGATGATTATAAATAAGTGGAGACAATACCGGAGTGCTTAGCACTGTTCTAAGTTTGGGGAGGACTTGTGTCAGAAAGAAAATTCACTACCTATGCAAGGAAATGACACTGTAGAAGTTTTGTTCAGGTGGGATGGATGGCCCTTCCAGTGACTTCACTAATTCCAGGCCCTCTGGACAAAGAAATGGTTCTCAGCTCTAATCTTAGAAACTCTCCAACCCTGACATCACACATCTTGTTCTACAAACACTGACATTTTGCTTACTGTTGCCTTGGCCAACTCATGCCATACCCTGACAATAATTAGGACTTGATACTCCTATCTTTCAAAGTCACACCACCAAAAGTAGAAGTAAATCAGACTTCAAGGTTTCTTTTGTCTCGAGAATGCCAGAAATCTTAAAATCTTAGAGCTGGAAAAAAAATCTCAAAATGTCTTCAGGCTGACCAAGTATTCTGGGTGGGGCTACAAGAACTGGTCTACTTAAACATTTGTGCAGCCCAGAGGATGGTTTTTTTCCCCATCCATTGTCTAACAAATCGCTACCAAGCCAAACATTCTTCTCGGAAGCTTCAAATCAACATTGACCCATAGCGTTACCCAAGTTGGGACTCCCCCATCCGGTTCCTGCAACTAAGCATCCTGTGTAGCCAGGTCCATCAAGGGTATGCTCCTAAAATGTTTACAGAATAAGCCCCAAAGTTAAACATTTTCCCTAATAATTTCCATAGTCTTACTGGAAATCTTTTGAAGTCTTGACATCTTTTGATGGAATCATAAAGCTTCCACTCTCCTTTCAGGACAGGTCTGGGGCAAGCCTCCCCATATGCAGAATAGATCTCACTTCCATCGCTTCTTAATTTCCAAAAGGCATTTTGGTGTTTTTTGCAAGTATAAGGCTGATGGTGGCCAGTGATTCTAAAGAGATTATATGGACCTCTTGAAAGGCTGGTTTACTTTGACAGACATTAGCTGAAATAGTCATTAAAATCACCATGCAATCAGTCAACAAATTTTATTGAGCATCTACTATGTGCCAGACACTGGTGTAGGTAAGGAGGATACAACCTTATATGAAACAAAGTCCTCACCCTCATTCGGCTTAAATTCTAATGATGGAGACAGACAATAATCCAACAACTATCCAATACAGTCTCAAGTGGTGTTATAGGCTTAGAAAATATCGCAAAGCAGAGGAAGAAACAGAGAGTGGCAGAGGCCGTAAGGGTGGGGAGGTGGCGGTATTTTAGATAGAAATCTGAGAGGAGGGCAGTTAAACAGAGCCCCAGAGAAGGGAAGGAGCAAGAGATGGGGCTATTTGAGGGCTGGAGGAAAGGGGAGCAAGGAACAGCTTGTGTCAAGATTGTAAGGCGGTGGAGTTCCTGGTGAACTCCAGGAAGAGCAAGAAGTGAGTGCAGCCAGAGTTGAGGGAATCGAGGGACGACTCAATTTTTAAATGTGGCTGCTAGATGCATTAAGTTAGGCAAACTCAAAGGCCAGTCTTGGCTGTTGCAACCTTTGGAAGTCCGTTCCAAGTAAAGTAGTGCCAGTTGACTAATGAGGCCTTCTAGTCTGCAAGACAAGGGGGCAGGCCTCTCTGTTACGAGTTCAGTGAGAATCTTTTACAAAATCCACATATTACAAAATCCACAAACGTAGAGGTTTTGATCATGGAAGTTTTTCTGCCAAAAACTAAGTCTGAGAGAGAAAGGAGGATGGTTGCAGATAACTTGGTGGCCAAGTGTTTCATTAATTTCTTGCCAAATATTCGTTTTCTGACTAAAGAGAGTAATCCCTCAAGGAATGTATCCTGTTTATTTCTCTACAGTTTAACATAAGTTCCAGATCATCTGCCTCTTGTGTAAGACAAAAATTAGTTCCACATAAATTTGCATTTTTACCCCAAATATATCAATTTATCAAATTTCTGGGTCATATTTTTATTGCATTTGTCATTGTTAAGTACCTATTGATGGAAAAATTGATGTCTCGTTATTTCCTCTGCTTTTTATTTTTAGCCAGATTGAAAGATAAATATAGCAAGTACAGCTTGTTTTCAAATTCAGATCAACAATAAGTAATTCTGACTCTCTATTTTTTATCTAAATGATGGGCTTTTCCAGGGGGAGCAGAAATGCTTCATCTGCGACTCGAGATTCCCATACGACCCATACACCCAATCCCACAGCCACACCATTGAGAACATAATTACAAGTTTTGAACCAGAGAGAGAAAAGAAATGGTGGCAATCTGAAAATGGTATGATTGAGTTCCTTTCCAGTTTTTCATTTCTTTACATTTTTAATAAGCTGTCTTTCGCTCTGTATGATTATAACAATTTCACAGCAAGTAGCCCTGTTGGAATGGAACAGCCTCCACCGAGAATGTAAAACCCCGTATAAGAACAAACTTGATTTTCATTTCAGGAAAGGTTATTTTCCTCCAGAGAACTCAGTGTATTTTAAGCACCTAACTCTGGGTGCTTCACTCTTTCCATGTGCGGGAAGAAAATATCTGTGCCTTCTTTTGTTCTTTGTAAAAAAAAGAAAAAAAATAGGCCACTTACAAGGTGCTGGTGAATGAAGGCTAATATAAAACACCCTGATGTAAATGGAATTAAGGATGCCCCGGGGGAAATCTGAGAGTTATCACCACATACTTCTTCCTTCTGCAGTACATGCAGGGAGAGAGAAAAAGAACATGTCATTTCTTGCTGCAAGCCAAATATTTTCATGTAAAAATTGAATTGAAAGGATAGTTGGTACTAACTAAAGGTCTTTCCTTCTTGGATTTGTGCTTTTCTCTGTTCATGAACAACTGTGGTATTGAAGCTTATATTGGCCCTGACCATCCGTATTTCCGAGGTGCCCCTATCAGGACCCGACTGGGGTTCCTCCCGTCCCACCCCAGCCTTGGGCCTTACGTGCTTGAATGAATGTAGCTGGCTCACTCATGATGGCTCCTCTTCACCCATCTGGGACCCTCAGCCCACAAAATGATTCCATTTGCCCATCTCTATATGTTGTCCTGGGGCTACAATCCCTCTATCCTCTTCAGACGCCTAAGCCTACTTCCCACAGGGGATCCTAGACCATTAGGGGAACATGGGAATAATCATAATGTATAGGATCATAATATAAAGGGCAAGCATAATATGAGGCTGTTTTTCTCTGCTGCCCATTCGACAAGTATGTGATTGGTGTCTACTAAATGCCAGCCCATTTTGGACCCCAGTTACTCATCTCTAGTTGGGCTCTCCTTAGTGCATGGGAAGGCCTCTGCCACAGCCACCTGCCTTCACTGATGCCATTTTTGCATAACAGCTGTTTTCCTTCTTGTTTCTGTTTTTGGTTTTTTTGAGAGAGAGTGCAAGCAGGGGGAGGGCCGGAGGGAGAAGCAGACTACCTGCTGAGCAGGGAGCCCGATGTGGGGCTCGATCCCAGGACTCTGGGATCATGACCTGAACCCAACCAACTGAGCCAACCAGGTGCCCCACTTAATAGCTGTTTTAAACCACGTGCCCAGCATTTGTCCCACATCTCCTCACAGACGGAGTGCCCCTCTTCAGAGTTGTTTGCATAGAACAAGGGTTCTCAGCCAAGAACTTTCGAGAGGGGAAAGGAGATCTCCTTTCTAGAAAGGATGAGGAGCCCTTGACCCGGGAATGGGGCTGCCCTCTGAGCTGCAAACCTTCCTGAGTGGTTCACCCTCTAAGAAGACTGCTTCCCGGGCGCCTGGGTGGCTCAGTTGGTTAAGCGACTGCCTTCGGCTCAGGTCATGATCCTGGAGTCCCGGGATCGAGTCCCATATCGGGCTCCTTGCTCAGCAGGGGGTCTGCTTCTCCCTCTGACCCTCCCCCCTCTCATGTGCTCTCTCTCTCTCATTCTCTCTCTCAAATAAATAAATAAAATCTTTAAAAAAAAAAAAAGAAGAAGAAGAAGACTGCTTCCCATTTGCTGCAGCCCAGTTAGTGCTCTCAGAGCTGTTTTGTCTGGTCCCGGAGCCCCTTGCCCTGGGCACTCCTGGGCATTAACAACATGGCCGATCCAAACTGAGATGTGCTCTTGGTGTAAAACCATTCCAGATTTCTAAGACCTCGTTTGGAGAAAATGAAACATTGTTAATAGTTAAAAGAAAGCATTATTAGTTTTTTTTAAAAATGTTGACCACATGTTGAAATGAGATGCTTTTAATATATTGGGTTCAATAGATTAAAATTAGTTTCACCTGCTTATTCGTACTTTTTAAAGTGTGGCTGCTAGAAAATCTTAAATGACATGGGTGACTCCTATTCCAACTGGACAGGGCTACTCTAGAGAGATCAGGGCTTCTGTTCCGTCCAGGCTGGGGCCCATCCTCCACGTCCAGGCAGAAGGTGAATGGCCGCTCACTATCTCAGTGCAAAGTCCGGGCCGGGCTACTTCTTTCTTCTTCTCAGTCACGGAGGAGCCGCAGATCCTTACTCCAAGGGGACTATTTCAGGCTGTCTTTTATGCTAGGTGAGAATAAAACTAGTCCAAGTGATCGTTAAGCAGCTGCTGGAAGAATAGGGTGTGTCGATTTTTACCAGAATCTGGCTTGCTAGCCCACGGTTACGCACAGTCAAGAGGTGAGTTCAAGGACATGAGTCCACCTATGGGAACATCCCGGAAGTCCCTTGGTGGGACGTGATACTGCCACCCAGTGGCCGTGTGCACAGCCACCATAACATGAATGTGGGCACGGTCTGGGTAAACTCTATATTGCTCTCAAGTAGACCTTCTGCACGTGGAGTGTCATGGGAAACCACTGGACAAGACCAGGAAAGAGTGTGGATCCCCAGCCATGCGATTTCAAAGGGCTTTATTACAGACACGCCACAGGGAGGGATTAATGTGATAAATAGGGGTCTCTCGAAATCACTGATCTTCTTCTTTCTGGATTTTTCTTTAGGTCTTGACCATGTCAGCATCAGATTGGACCTAGAGGCATTATTTCAGTTCAGCCACCTCATTCTGACCTTCAAGGTACAGATGTGTGGGCTTGCCGCCCCCTCTATCTACCTACAAGATGCTGGGCTTGCCTGGGATTTCACTTCCTTTCTTCCTGGCAGAGCACAGAAGGCTTTGTAAATCTCTGCTCAAGCTTTGTCATTTGGGTTTTGGTTCCTGAGTGGAAAACAAAACAAAACAAAACAAACAAACAAAACGAACAAGAACCCCACTGCTCATTAATTAATCACTTAGATGGTCAACCAAAAAGAAAAGAAAAGAAAGACAGAAATCTTACAAGATAGAGCAGAAAGGAAAACTCCAAGCACTGGGGTGATAGGGACTGTAAGAACTAGAAAAATATTTTTAAGGAGAAAAAGGCAGGAAGTGGAAATTATTCAGGGAAATACAGAAAGGTTGCGATCAGAAGAGGCAGAAAAACGAAAGGGTCTTTACTAAGGATAGTTAGATGTCAGAGAAATCCTGTGCTGTAGTCATTCCCAAATCATTCATCAAAATTCTAATTTTGTCATCAGGCTGGAAGCTGACTTATAGTAATAAAAAATGAAAATAAAAAATGAAAAAAAGCGCCCCACAAGTGTTTGCCCTCAGAGGGCTCACCGCCTAGTAAAGGATACAAACATACATAGAGATTTAAAATCATAATACAAAATGGTAAGTGCAGGAACTGACATATGTTCAGAATGCTGGTGGGCTCCTTAAGGAGGTGAACTCTGAGGAATCAGAAAAGTTTTCTGGTAGATCTTAAAGGAGTTTGCCAGAGAAAAGTGTTCTTGTCAAAGAAAACCACATGCAAATCGCTATAAAATATCAATCACGTTGTTTTTTAAAAATTGACATGCTCTCCTTCTTCAATGAGTAATTCACACAGCCCATACACATCTTTTATACAGAACCAGATTCGAGGCAAAGTATATGTTCATGAAAGCTTGCCCACTGATTGGAAAGAGATTTCTGTGTGTTCATTATATGAGAGATTTTCAAAGATACAAATAAAGTTTGAAAAATGGAGATTAGGAAATATAAATGTTCAGTCTGAAGCGGATAATGAAATCTGCCTTTGTGAACCATTACAAGTTTACCTCTTGTTTTTCTAGACTTTTCGGCCTGCTGCGATGTTAGTTGAACGCTCTGCAGACTATGGACACACCTGGAAAGTACTCAAATATTTTGCAAAAGACTGTGCTGCTTCCTTTCCTAATATCACATCGGGCCAGGCCCAGGGAGTGGGAGACCTTGTTTGTGACTCCAAATATTCGGATATTGAACCCTCCACTGGTGGCGAGGTAGCCTTTCCTTTCTTGGATTTCTCTGATAGAAATTAAACCTTTTTTTTTTTTTTTTTGCTACTGTGGTTCATTTAAATGAAAACAATTTAGGTAGTGTTTACTGAAATAGAACTTAAGCTGTTGTTGGTTTTTTTTTAAGAATGAACATGTCTAAATTGAAATGAGTCCTGCATTCATTTTGAACTCGGATAAATAGTAAATAACTTATAGGAAATAACTGCACTGGGCACCTGGATGGCTCTATCAGTTGAGCGTCTGACTCTTGATCTCAGCTCAGGTCTGGATCTCAGAGTCATGAGTTCAAGTCCCTTGTTGGGCTCCATGCTGGGCATGGAGCCTACTTAAGAAAGAAAAGAAAAATAATTCTGCACACGAGTGCCCAGCTGAGGGTGAGCAGGGACTGAGACCCCAGGCTGGGTGCCGGGGCACAGGGCCCCCAGAGGAAGGAGCATCTGCTTCTAACCCTTGCTATAGGCTAGTGGCAGCCCTGGCTTAGCTGTGTTCTCTCCATGCTCTGTAAACCACCATCCAGCTGGAATCTGCCAGGAGCTTCCTCTGAGCAAAGCTGGTGACTGGCAGAGGGTCAGGGTAGGAGTGGGGTTGGGCGGTATTATTTTATCATGTAGAATGAAAGAATTGGCAGCAGAAGTCGGCTCTAGAATTCCCTGCCAGATCCAGATGGATGATGACCTGCTGAACTGTGACCCCATCGCTCCACCCCAACCCCAGGCAGGAGCTATCAGAGCTTCTGCCTTCACGGACCACTTGGGCATAAAGAGCCAGAATGACTGTTTAAGATCTTTCATTCATTTTCATTCTTGGGACTTTTATTCATGTGCGAACCCAAATAATAATCTGCATCCTACACCACTGAGGGAGGCAGTGACTCAGCCCTTTTGTAAGGTCAGGATCTCTTCTTTGAGACTATATTTAACAACACTGTTTTGGGTAGGATGCTTATACATTTACCTATATTTGTTTTACAGGTCGTTTTAAAAGTTCTGGATCCCAGCTTTGAAATAGAAAACCCTTACAGCCCCTACATCCAGGGTATGAGTCGCTCTCGTCTGCGCACCAATTCCTTTTCTAAAATTTCATGTTAGGAGTGTTCCTCATCACTGCAGGTCCATAGTCCATTAAGGGGATGTCAGTCCGGGAGAGCGCCTTGACCTGATGCCTCCTAAGTGTGCTTTGCTTTGCTCTTTTCCTTTCTCTAGACCTTGTGACATTAACAAACCTGAGGATAAACTTCACCAAACTCCATACCCTGGGGGATACTTTGCTGGGAAGGAGGGAAAAGGAGTCCCTTGATAACTACTACTATGCTCTGTATACGATGGTGGTGCGGGGCAGATGTTTTTGTAACGGCCACGCCAGCGAGTGCGGCCCTGTGCAGAAGGTGCGGGGAGACGCGTTCGGCCCCCCCGGAATGGTGAGTTACTGAGCAACCCCAAGGGGCACCTGGCTCCCTTACCTTTCCTGTGCCGTGCTGCTGTTGGTTGTAGACCAGACTCTCTACAGGGGGGTCCACCATCGAAGTGACAGCTTTATGTGGGGCAGGCGTCATTCAACCTGGCCTGACGGACCAGCTGGAGGAGCTGGGGGGCCGGGGGGGCTTTGATATTAATTAATGAGTAGCATTTATCATTTATGGTTTCACGGGAGCCCATCTTGCTCCCTTTTTGTTTTATTTGGCTTTTCAGGGAATGGAGCTTTGGTGGCGAGGACCCGTGGTCCCACAAAAATGCCTTGAAGGTCTCTTGTGTGAGACAGCCTGACTCCGTGCCAGGGTGTTGGACTAAAATCTGTCACTGTCAAAATGGCCACTCCAAGTAACATTCTTGCCCTGGGAACGACTGTTCCTAGCACGATCTCTTCCATGCTTTGGGACGAGGCTTCAAAGAGTGATGTAGTAGAAGAATTGTGTTTTAACGCCGAGTCCCAAGGGTGTGTCCGCGAAATAATTTTAAACTATTAGCCACAATCAGACAGGGCGGGATACTTCCCTGTCAGCCACCTCATATTTCCCTAGAAATAGAACTTCTCTCTTTGAACTTGGACATACGGGGCATTTTGTGGAAAAGCCAAGAGAATCACACATTTTTCTCCAGTTTCTTTCTGTTTTCTAATTCCCTCTTTTCCCTTACACTCCTCAACCACCCCCTGTGCGCACGCACACACACACGTACACACACGCATGTGCACACACATGCACGCACACACGTACACACGCACGTACACACATGCGCACACATGTGCATACACACACGTGCACGCGTACACACACATACACACACAGGTACACACACTCCCCATTCTGTCTGTCCTTGTGCTGCGGGCTGCAATATGTTGTTTTAAAAGTAGAACTCAGAAATGCCAAAAAATGTGTGTCCCAAACACCTTAAATTTTTTCAAAATTTTAGGGCTGGTTAAGCAATAACAAAAGCTAGTCAAGGTTGGTGCCGTCACTAGCCAGGAACCCTGAGACCCAGAGAGGCGCCCGGCCTGCTAGTTCACTTTCCACGTAACGAAGCCCAGCATCCTCCAAGCAAAGCCCCCTTTCCACACCACGCAGGTTCACGGTCGCTGCATCTGTCAGCACCATACAGACGGCCCGAACTGTGAGAGGTGCAGGGACTTCTTCTACGACGCTCCGTGGAGGCCAGGAGCAGGCCACCAGGACAGCACGTGCAGAGGTACGCGGGGAACACCCTCAGCCTGGACCCAATGTGCTCTGCACCGCCTAAAAGATCATTGAGTTCATTTCGGTGGGGCTGCAGGCGACGGGGGTGATGGACCTGTGGCTCCGGCTCCGGCATATCCTGATGTTGCCCATGACCTCCAACTTCTCAAGTCTTCACACCAAACATGAACATTAATTTACACACTGAAACAATATGCATGTCGTGTGGTCGCTTTCTGGAGGAGGGGCAGAGCCATGTCACGGTACTATCACTGGGGACAGGGCTGGTCCAGGATCTGGTGAATACCAGGTTTGGTACGGAGATCCCTACCGTTTTCCTGAATACTCATACATTCCATGACCTGGATCTTTTTTTTTTTTTTAAGATTTTATTTATTTATTTGACAGAGAGAGAGCACAAGCAGGGGGAGCAGCAGAGAGAGAGGGAGAGGGAGAAACAGACTCCCTGCTGAACAAAGATCCTGACATGGGGCTTGATCTTAGAACCCCGGGATCATGACCTGAGCAGAAGGCAGATGCTTAACCGATGCCACCCAGGCATCCCCTCATGAACTGGATCCTAAACACATATGTCAGGAGAGATGAAGATAAGGACCAAGTCTGACAGGCTATTGTATTTTTTGTAAAATATTTAGGCTAATAAAGTAGAGAGTTTTCTTGTAAGGTGTTCACGGCCTCTGAATTTTGATGAACTTCCATACAAACTTGTCACTCAGTTTCTTTTCCCAGACGGGGAGGGGGGATAGGATGTGAGGGAAGAGTTCTCATGAAAACGTCCCATCCATGAGAGTCACAGTGGGCAGACCCAGCAAAATGGAGCCTGAGATTTTGCTGTTTACAGGGAAACCCCAGCAAGGCACACAGCACAGACTTTACCACCAAGACAAACAAAGTCCTTTCCCTCTGGTGCTCTGACTGAGCCCCAGATGGGATGGGAATGACCTATAGCCGCCCTTCTGGCTCTTCTGCCCATGGAGATGGAGAAGCAGGCGGGGGCCCAGCTCGGACATCTTATCTGAGGATCCCTGAACCTGCAGAACATGGGATATAAAAATTCAAGTTTACAAAGCCTGAGTCAGTAAAAGTATTCTTTACTGGAAAACAACAAAATTGCACCCTAGGCCTTCTGGATCACCCAAATGATTTACTTTTGTTTATTTGATATAAAAAAAAACACAAATATTAAACACAGGGAGCACATTTTACAGAGAATAGGGGCAGAATCAGAGCACTAGGAAGATCCTCTGAAAGCACCTGTTTTAATCTGTGTGTACTGGGGGCGCCACTGTGGCTCAGTGCGTTAAGGGTCTGCCTTGGGCTCAGGTCACGATCCCAGGGTCCTGGGATTGAGTCCCCCATCTGGATCCTTGCTCAGGGGGGAGTCGTCTTCTCCCTCCCCCTCTGCCTCTCCCCGCAGCTTGTGCTCTCTCTAGTGCTCACTCTCAAATAAATAAATAAATACAATCTTTAAAAAAACTGATCTGTGCATACTTGGTGTATCTACAAGACGGGGTAGTGGCAGGAGATGGCGGGGCAGGAGGGCTGCGGTGATTGGCGCGGCCCAGCGGCTCGGGGTCCCCCAGACCTCGGCCAACCTCTCATAGCCCGTCTCCTTCCTCAGCTTGTCGCTGCAACAGCCACGCTGACCGCTGTCACTTCGACATAACGGCGTACGTGCGGAGCGGCGGCCGCAGCGGGGGCGTGTGCGAGGACTGCCGCCACCACACCGAGGGGCAGCACTGTGACCGCTGCAGGCCCCTCTTCTACAGGGACGCGCTCAAGGCCATGTCCGATCCTCACGCGTGCATCCGTGAGTCCCCGGCCGCGGGCCTGTCTGTCCCACGCGTGTGAGCAGAGGCTGACGGAGAGGCCTCCCTTGCGCCGCCAGCCCCCGCTCGGTTGCGCGGCATGCCCAGAGCGCCCGGGTTAGGGGCCGGGGGCGGCGGGGGGCGGGGGGGGGCTCGCCCAAGCGCTGCGGCTCTAAGAGCTTCCGTTCTCAGCGCAGTTTGGGTCGGATGATCCGGGTCCGTCCTGGTAGCCCCTGGTGAGTGGGGAACTATGCTGGGTTGAGCCAGGGGCGGGCGCGTGTTTCAGAGGAGGCTGCGGACACCGGGTGCCCTGGAGGTCGGCGGGGGCAAGCGGCCGAACGCAGTCGCCCGGCTCACCGTGGCCGGCTGGCTCCACCGTGCCGGAGCAACAGGCAGGCCGTAGAAACGTACTTGGGATTTTGAACTTGGATCTTTCCCCAGCCTAGCCGAGAGGGGACGACCCCTCTCCCATGCTGGGCGGGGCAGCTCCCAGTCAGTGGCGCTGGTCCAGAGGGTCCGCAACCAGTAAGCCGCCCACAGCCATTCTGTTCCCACACAGCCACTCTGCCACTTTCAGGACGGTAGTCAGTAAATTACACGGGCAGGCAACGCTCCGTTATACAACAGGCTGTGTGTCGGATGATTTTGCCCAACTGTCAGCCAATGTGAGTGTTGTCAGCATGCTAAGGCAGGCTAGACTAAGCCGTGATGGTTGGTCGGTTAGATGTAGTAAATATATTTTTGACTTAAGAAATTTTCGGCTTGGGGCGCCTGGGTGGCTCAGTTGGTTAAGCGACTGCCTTCGGCTCAGGTCATGATCCTGGAGTCCCGGGATCGAGTCCCGCATCGGGCTCCCTGCTCGGCAGGGAGTCTGCTTCTCCCTCTCCCACTCCCCGTTTGTGTTCCCTCTCTCGCTGTGTTTTTCTCTGTCAAATAAATAAATAAAATCTTAAAAAAAAAAAAAAAGAAAGAAATTTTCGGCTTATGATGGGTTTATCAGACAGAGCCCTGCCTTAAGTCGAGGAAGATCCATAGTGAAATTGGCTGCAACATTTCTTTGGCTGTAGACAATTCAGTTTTGCTGATAAGCTAACATTATCTTGCTGCTGCTGCAGCTTTTTAAGATTTATTTATTTACGTTAGAGAGAGAGAGAGAGAGAGCCCGAGCAAGAGGGGTGGAGGGAGAGAATCTTAAGCAGACTCCATGCTGAGCACGGAGCCTGATGCTGGGCTCAATCTCACAACCCTGAGACCATGACCTGAGCTGAAACCAAGAGTCGGTGGCTTACCTGACTGAGCCGCCCAGGCAGCCTACCTTGCTTCTTTTATTTACTTTTTTTTAATCTTTAAAAATCTTTCATTTTGTCCTTAATCTCAGCTTTTAAAAATGGAATATCTTATGCATATACAAATAATAGAGAATAATATAATAAGCAACCTTATGCCCACCAGCAGCCGTGTCAAAACATATCTATCTTATGCTATCATCTTTAGGACCTTAATAAGCACTACAGACGCTGCTGGGGACCCAGGCGCACACTTGCCCCATTTGTTACCCTCTTTCCTGGGGATAAACTCACATATTTGGCAATTATTATTGCAATGCCAGCTTTTACACTTTCATATGTTCTTGTATACAAACAATATATGTTGGCATTTTTTCAAATTTCAGATAAATGGTATCCCACTGTATGTATCCTTCATTATTTTGTCCATTATATTTTTGAAATTTGTCCATATCAGGCAGCCCTCAGTCTCCAGTTTTAATATCTGTAGGTAATATCTGTATAGAGCTCTTTCTTCCTCTAAGTGTGACAAAATCTATTTGGCCATTTTTCTTTTGATCCTTCAAAAAACATTCTTGTATATGTGGCCTTGTGCACATGCACAAATCCTGTCCCTAAGACCCATACCGAGAAGTGGAATTACTGGACCATAGGGTATGAACTTTGTCAAGCCAATTACGTGGTACTGCTTTGTTCCCTAAGTGGGGGTACCAGTTAACACCCACACCAGCAGCGTGTGAGTGTTCCCATTGCTCTGTGTCTTGGCCAACCCTGGGTTTTGTCACACTTCAATTTTTGCTAATGAAAAGTTACCTCATCATTATTTTCATTTGAATGTCCCTGCAGGAATGAGACTAGAGCGAGACAAGCCAAGCACCCAGGTCCCAATGCTTCAGGAAGGTCTCTCTGTCTCTCTCTGAGTGACGTAAACGTGGGGTTGACACCTAGCATTTGCACTAAGCTGGCAGTGAGCAGCTCCTTAAGTTTTATATGCTAGGCACCTTGCTTGTCTCACTCCAGTCCCAGCACTGCTGTCAATTACTGCATAGATAAATACTCCAACTTGATTTCCAATACCACGTGCCAGTTCCTGGGTCTGAGGTTTTACTCTACTCACAGACTGACAAGGAGCTTGTTACTGTTTCATGGATGCTGGTGGAAGACCTGAAACTCCCGGGTGAAAGACAAAGGACTTCATTACCCATGACACAGCAAGCAACAAGATGCTTGTATTGGTGTTTGTTCCCATGTCCCTAAGCCCTGAGTCCCATGGGGCAATTCAAAGGATGCCAGGTGGATCCGCATACCGAATGAGTTTATGCTACAGCCAAGAAACACTGAGCTTGGGGGATTCATTGCTTTTATAGCAAGGAGAAGCATGCCTGTTCTTTGTCCAGGGGAAGAGGTTACCTCATGCCTCAAGGTAGCTTGCTGGAAGCACAACCTTGAGAAATGGCCCTGGTGAAGAGCAGTCAGGGCCTTGCATTGTTGGCATACTCAGCAAAAAACGTTCGGAGGCCCAGAGCCCGTGGAAGTTTGCCTCTCCCAAGACCCAGAAATCCTGCTTCTTAGGTGATATCATCAATATCTTGTTATTTTGGGGGGAGGGGTTTGCTATAAAACTACAACTTCAAACTTTATATAATCATAACACATAAAATAAAGTCATATACAGAAGTAATTCATAGCCACCTGAATGTATACAACATCCTAGATTTCACTTTAAATCCTCACAATGTAGGAAAAGCATAAATGAAGTTTTTGTTCAGATTAGTGGGGGGGTGTAGAGATGGGGTAACTGGGTGATGGACATTAAGGAGGGCATGTGATGTAATGAGCATTGGATATTATATAAGACTGATGAATTACAGGCCTGTACCTCTGAAACCAATAATATATGTTAATTAATTGAATTTAAATTTAAAAATGTTTAAAAAAAGATAACTTAGTAGGTACCTGACTGCATAACATTTTCCCTTACATGACCTGTTTAAAATTGATACAAAGAACTGAATTCTTAGAAAAAACATTTCTTTAAATCAGTGTCCTAAGTGTCCTACATTTTTTTTATCAGAATCTATAATCCACCCCCACTGCCTTACACACACACACAACACACACACACGCACACACACATGCAAAATATTTTATTAATATTTTAAACCCTATTCATTTATAAAAGAAGAAGAAATTGCTCTCTTAGGTAGAATCAGAGGGAAATATAATGTTTTGAAACAGATAATCTAGGAATCTGGAAAGAGACTGGAAGTAACTAAGCCAGATAGTCACGTCAACCAAAGTCTTGTTCCTTAAAAACCACTTAGTATTGGGGCACCTGGGTGGCTCAGTCAGTTAAGCGTCTGCCTTCAGCTCAGGTCATGATCCCGGGCTCCCTGCTCAGCAGTGAGTTGGCTTCTCCCTCAGCCCCTCCCCCTGCTTGTGCTCTCTCTTACTTGCTCTTGCTCGCTCTCTCACTCAAATAAATAAATAAAATCTTTAAAAAAAAAAAACTGCTTAGAATTAATGATGGCACTTCTGAAGGAAACTAAGAAAACTAGTACCCAGACATGAAATTAAGAAGTCGTTCTTTATAAACAAGGAGCTGTTTTTTGTTTTTTTTTTAAGGAAAGGCAAATGAGGAGCTTGTAAAACAATCTCCATGAGGCTCCCCAGTTTCCCTAAACACATGTTTATGTGTGTGGGATTATGTGTGTACAAATGGCATTTATTAAGACGGACCAGCAGTCTCATAAATTTTCTCTGAATTGTCCTTGTTTGAGCCTAAATATTTACATAATCAGATTCCAGGCCTAAGGGATGACTAATTTTAAGTCTTCTGTGATTAAAACACAGTCAAATGTGATACAGGAAAACACACAAAGATTTGGTAGATTCAACCACTCATAACGTGATTTTGCTGGAGTTAAATTGTGTGATGCTGAGAAATTTTATTGCGCTTCTTCTGGTTTTCCCCAAACTAAACAGAACCAAATGCTGTTTTTCTGTAATAAGATTTTATTACCAGTCACAATCCAATAACAGTTGAAAATCGAAAGATTCTGTCAGACAAACCACATATTTGCTTCAATACCCCAAACAACTAGGTTTTTTCCATCAAACTCACTAACCTAAATGGGTGTTATATAAACATACATAACACGGCTTTAGATGGAAGGGGTTTGTTTTTATTCCTCCAAAGTAAACCTGTATAAATGTGAATATAATTATTTCATAGAATCAGGATATTCATTTTTTTCAATCTTTATTGCATTCCTTAAAAGTGGCATCCCTTGGAAACCCAGCCCCACGAGGCTACGAGAGACGCTGGTGGTCATCTGATTATCTACCTGCAGACTTGTCCTCTCTACCAAAGCCACATCAACTGCGTTTTCAAGTTCTCCTGGACACTACCCCTCAAAAATGTGGGGGTCACTGCTCTACAGGGCAGCTCTAACTGTCAGAGAGCTCTTCCTTATAGTCAAATCACTCTCTGCCTTTTATCACTTCTCCCCTCTGGAATTAGTTGTACGATCAGCATCCTTTTTCATAGCGTGCTCCTTCCTGTAGTCGTTCAAGTTTCCGCTGAACAGAAAAGGGGGTGGGGGGGGTGCTTTTGTTACTCCTTTTGCTATAGGTGACCATCTCATTTTGCAGAATCTCTTCATCCCAGCTTTTGCTGTGCCAGCAGATTTCCAAAAAGGAAACGGTGATATAAGCCCTTCTTGCTATTCTCCCCCTTTCTTTCTTGAAGGTGCTTCTTCCAGGACGAATTAAAGAGAATGCTAGCATTTATCCTTATTTTTCTGTGATGGGTAAGAGCAGACTTACTTTCTTAACCAGATTTCAGAGATTTGGTAGATATTTTATGTAATGTTTTTTTCTCTTCTTACTCTCTCACGACCCTTGATTATATATACATATATATGTATATTTGTGTATTTATATATATAAATATATTTTATATTATATATAAATAATATATGTAAATATTTGTATATATATAAATATACACGTTATATATATAAATATATATTGTGTATTTCCTTACAACATCCCATGCTTACTTGCCTCTAGACTTCATTCTCACCTTTGGAGTCTTATTTTCTTCTCTTAATCTTTCTTTCATTGAGGTGAAATTGACATAACATAAAATTAACCATTTTAAAATGAGCGACAATTTAGTAGCACAAAGTTGTACGATCAGCATCTCTACCTAGCTCCAAAATGTTTTCATCACCCTGCAAACTAATCAATGTACTCTTCACATCCAGTTTTCATAATAGCAGTCTTCCTCTGATCCTCTTACTTTAGAATCACTTAAAAGCCTTAAAATATATATATATATGTATATATATACATATATGCATACACATATGTATGTATGGAATCGTTCAACATTTTCCAGAGGCCTAGATCTGGGAGACATTTCTGAACAGCCTTCGCCCACTGGTCTAGTTGTTTAAGCGTATTTAATTATTTAAACAAAATAAAATAGTTATAACGTGAGTAAAATGCTGTGTTTATATCTCAGGTTTCCTGCAATTTGCAATTAACTAAGATAATGCGTGTCTGTGTCCCCAGCTTGTGAATGTGACCCAGATGGGACTTTATCGGGTGGCATGTGTGTGAGCCACTCTGATCCTGCTTTGGGGACTGTGGCCGGCCAGTGCTTGTGCAAGGAGAACGTGGAAGGAGCCAAGTGCGATCAGTGCAAGCCCAACCACCACGGGCTGAGCGCCGCAGACCCCGCGGGCTGTCAGCGTAAGTCAGCAGCGGCTGTCCACCAGCCCGGATGCGTTTTAAAGCTTGGGGCTGTCTCTTTCAGCCCTAAAATTCGGTCATTGTAAAACACGCAAGGTATTGACATCCTCTGGGTTTTCTAAAGTGATGCAAACAAACCTCCCACAAATTTTAGTAAATGGGTGATTTTTCTCTTGGTGGTTAGCTGAGATTATCATAAGGGACCAGCAGGGGGCGCTCACATTTCCTCACTGGGGCAAACATGGGACAATGCCAAGAAATTTAATGCCAAGTTGCGAAACCTTTAGAAAAATGGTCTGGACTTGGACTCTCTTATACAAATCCGTTAAATTAAATTATGCATTTATGCATAGATTGAGGACTTCTTAAGCAATCTTCAAGTGGTTGTTTCTTTTCTTTTTCCTTCTTTAAAATTACTTTTCCCCTTTCTTCTCATACCCCTTCTGGAATTGGTCCTATATTCTCTAATGAAGAGAAGACAAAAATTAAAGAGCCAAGGGAGAGGTTGTGGGGAAATAGGAAGAGTTTTCTGGGGCCAAATGGGGAATTTTCTGGGGCCAAATGGGGAGACCTTTGGCCCTGGGATCACAGAAATTTAGAGTTGCCTGGGGTCTCATAGAGCTGCAGATTCCCCAGGGAATCCTGGGGAAATAATTTCCCTCTGGTCACAGCATCATGCTCTATGTTTTTGCTCATATAAGGAACTATAGATTATTTGCATGTTTAGAGAACAGCATGCAGAATCCTACATTCTTCTGGAGTTTAATGGCAACATTAAATTCCAGGATCGTGAATTATATCATCAAGCCAATCCCCATCACACCCAGGTGTTTCCCCTGGTTCAGTATTGACCTGATGCCCTCCCAGAATAGGGCAAATGTTGTGGGTTTTTTTTTTTCTTTTGTAACAGCTTCAGTGAGATATAATTCATATACCATAAAATTCACCCTTTGAGGTACAATTCAGTGATTTCTAGTCTATTCAGAGTTGTGTCACCACCACTATAATCAATTTTAGAACATTTTCATTACCCCAGAAAGAAGTCCGATAGCCTACTTCTGGCTGTCTACCCAAAAGATTGGAGAGATGTGTACACTCTTGTTCATAGCAGCATTATTCACAATAGCCAAAAAGTAGAAGCGATCCAAGTGTCCATCCATGGATGAGTGGGCAAGCAGAACGTGGCATATACATACAACAGAACATTCTTCAGCCTTAAAAAGGAAGCTCTGACACATGCAACAGTATGGACGGACTTTGAGGAGGTTCAGCTCAGTGAAATAAGCCGGTGACAAAAGGACAACTACTGTATGATCAATCCACTTCCATGAGGTACCTAGAGCAGTCAAGTCCATGGAAGCACAAAGTAGTGGTTGCCAAGGGCTTGGGGGAGGGAGGAAGGGGTGGAGATGGTGTTTAAAGGGCATAGAGTTTCAGTTTTGCAAGATGACGGAAGAGTCCTGGAGATGAGTTGCAAAACAGTGTGGGTGTATTTAAAATGGTAAATTTTATGTCACATGTATTTTACCATAAGAAAAGTAAAGAAGCCCCATGGCCTTTAGCTACCATCTCCCCATCCCCCATTCCCCCAGCCCTGGGCAAGCATGAATCCACTTTCTGTCTCTGTAGATTTGCCCACTGTGGACATTTCAGGCAAATGAAATCATCCAATATGTGGTCCTTTGTGACTGGCTTCTTTCCCTTAGCATCATGTTTTCAAGGTTCGTCCATGTTGCAGTGTGTGTCAGTGTTTCGTTCCTTTTTATGGCTTAACAATATTCCATTGTGTGGATACTCCACATATGACCTATCCATTCATCATTCGATGGACATTTGGGTTGTTTCTACAAGCAGTGGTTTTTCCTGCAGGGGAAATGTGTATCTTGCTCTTAGCAAATTTCTTAGCCTCACAACAAAGGCAGAACTCAGGGATGCCTGTGCATGGCAGAGAAAGAGGAGGGAGATGATGAAAAGAAAACGTAACAAGGCAGTAAGGAGAGAGAGGAGAGAGAGAAACGTTAGATGCATCTGCCAAAAAAGGAGCCATTGCTAACAGCCACGAGCCTCAGAAACCCTTGCCCTGCGTTAAGCGAGCTGATCCCCCCGACCCCCCACCCCGTGGCATCACTCAGGGTGACTGTCCCAGCTGCGCCCTCTTGCACAACTTCTTTTCCTTTGTCTCCTCCTAAGTGCCATCCGGCAGAACTGCATGGGGCCTCTGGAAGTGTCTGGGCCTGGCTTTCCTGGGTGGGGTTGCGCGCACTACGATAATCGTGCGGACCAGACACTAGGCAGGGCTGGCGGGGGCTCTGTGTTCTTGAGACCACGCGTTTTGCTCCGTGTGAGCTCTTCAGGACAAGAGTGGGGTCAACAAAAACGAGAATAATTGTGTTTGCCGCGCTTTCAGCCTGTGACTGTAACCCCTGGGGGAGTCTGCCCCTCTCAGCCTGCGATGTGGACACGGGGCGCTGTTTGTGCCAGCCATTCGCCACGGGACCACACTGTGAAGAGTGCACCGTAGGTATTTGCCTAGGATTGCCCTCGTAGGTCGTCGGTCCGATCTCTGCTGCCATTGCCCAGAAGAGAGCCGGTCTTGTTAATTGCTTTCCTGTCCTGATGTATTTCAGGCCTCCCTGGGAAAGGTTGTATACGCTACAGAAATCCGCAAACACTAGAAATCAGCCCCCACCCTTCTAGAGAGAGCCGGCTGTTAGACATTCACCAGCACACCAACTTTTACCAAATTGGCCTGAACCCACCCAGGCACCGACGTCGGAAGTGTTAATGCGCTGTTCTCCCGAAAGTGCCAAGCAGTAGAATGTGACGATTTATCTCCGCCCCTCTCTCCGCCCACCAGATCACGGAGCCTTTTCTTCTGTCTGTCGCATACAGTCCCTTTATCACCCCTACTACTCCTTGCCTAAAAAATATTTTGGATGAGCTCATTAAAAAAAAAAAAAAATAAAACCCCCAAACCACAGGATTACATGTATTATAGATTCTTGTGGGAAATAAACTCCCGGATTTTTCACAGTCTCCTCTAAACATACGAGCACGTATGTCTAAAAATTAGTAACAGAAAACCTTTTTTTACGCCATAAGAAATGTATCATGCAGTTAGGGAGTTCAAATCCAACTCGTCCCGTGACATTTTACAAAGAAAGAAAGAAAAAAAAAAAAAGCTGAATCTAATAAAAGAACAGTGACCTTGATGTGTCTGAAGAAATGTAGCTGATAAATAAGAAACATATGCCTATTACAACATAGTTTTGTGGTAATATTTTAAGTCATTTTACTGAAAACATATGAGGATGGGGCGCAGGAGGTGGGGAAAGAAAGCCAGGAAATATGTACAAAGAGGGAGCTCTCTAAGACAGGGCAGGTGACCTAGAAATTATGAAGGAAGGTGAGCCAAGCCAACTCCAGGGCCATGTGGGGGCAACACGGAGAGGATGCAGGAAAATAACTGAGCAGGGGCCACCCTGTGGGGGCTCGTCCATTGTGGCTGAGCCCACGCATCCTGTGTCCGGTGGTGCCTGGGACCTGTGCGGAGCCCCCCACCTCCCCCCATGCCAGCACGCCCGGCCCAGGGGGAGTTTTAACAACCACATCCTGAGTGAGGCCGGTCATGGCACGTTGTTTTGCCTGAACTGAAGTTTAGTTTTGGGAAAAATATCAAAATTCCTTTCCTGTGTTTTGTAACAAGTTAGGTCAACTTTTAATGTTTAAAATAAATCTTTTTGAGTAAAATCAGGCATAAAATTTTACCAAGCTAATAAAAAAAAAGTATATTGATACTTAACAGACCTGTTTCCAACAAGAGCGCCATGCCTATTAAGACCTTAATTTTTTAATTGTCTGAGCATGTTAACTTGAGATCTGAGGGGGAAGCATTTTTTTTTTTAGCATTTTATAGTAAATGTTATCAGATTTAAGAACTAGTTGTTTGTATCTCACCAGCTGCTTATATTGAATAAAGGTCAAGATGTTGCAATGATGAAAAAAGTCTCAAACAAAGTTGACTCTCACGCAGAGTTTATTATGCCAAAACAACTTATTTATAAACAAGAGAGCCTGCTGAACTGTAATATTCAACTAAGATCTCAAAAGCAGCTTGATTGATTTTTTTTTTTTTTTTACCCCAAACATTTTAGGGTTGTGAAGGTAAAAATCCCTAGGGATTCTGTGGTAAGGGAACTTATTGGTTTTGCAAAAGCAGTTGCAAATCAGCTAAAGACCTTCTCCCCAGATTGGCCTTAGGTGACCTAGTGGGAGACGGAATTGATACTCTTAGAGAACCCAGTAGTTTCCACCACATCTGAGCTTGGAGTCATCCACAGACAACCCGCCTGTCCCCCTCATTTCAAGTCCCAGAAATGGGAGATACGTGTCCTCGAAGATCACTACCAAGTGCACAGGCAAGAAATGCTGGGTGGCTATTTGGCATGAGTCAACTGAATCATACTGGTTTTAATAGTACACTTAGAGCAGCAAATCTCTTCATAGCTGGAAGCGGCTGAGCATTTTCTCTTTGTAGGCTGGATACTGGGGACTGAAAGATCACCTCCATGGCTGTTCTCCCTGCGACTGTGATATTGGAGGTGCTTATTCCAATATGTAAGTCAATCAAATGAATGACAAAGTTCTGTGGCTATAGTCTTCACTCACGTTTCCACATAAAAGCACATTTTATTCTGATATGCTCTTAGTCATCGGCGATGGGCTTTATTCCATGACAAGAAAAGGGCGTTGAAAAGCGATGATCTTGAAACATTAACTACAGCTCAGTTGATTTATTTTGCTTGAAATATGTCTAAGGAAGAGAGAAACAGTTCTACTCCCTGGGTATCCCAGGAGGTGGTAAGATGGATGCCTCGTGTGACTTGACCTGCCTAAAACACCAACTTTTTGCCACCCTATAAAGAGAGATCCTACACTCCTGTTTGCAGTCTTTAGAGCAGAATCAGAGGAAAGAAATGGCTACTTGGGTTTCATAGATCTGGACTGGCTTTTCAAGACCAGACACGTAGAGCCCACGGCCTCCTAACCTCCTCCTCAAGACAACTGATTGATAGATTCAAAGAGTGGGTCCAAACTCAGAAGGCATTGAGCTCAGCACCCCCATGCCTTCATTTTATACCTGCCCCCCCCCATCACCACGTTTGTGCATGATGGATTTGTTTTTCCCCAGGTGCTCACCCAAGGATGGGCAGTGTGAATGCCGCCTGCACATCACGGGCCGCCGCTGCACTGAGCCAGCCCCTGGCTACTTCTTTGCTCCTTTGAAGGAAGGAAGCCACCCCATTGCAAGGACTTGCGCCTTTGGTGCGTATTTCATTTAGTTGCCTTACAGATTTGATTTGATGGCGTGTCAGTCCATTCATATAACACACCCTTGAGATCATGGGTAAGGTACCCGGAAAAGAATGGTTTTGCCCACATATGCAGATCAGAGTAGACCTTAATTTATCATAGAACTGAAGATTATAGAAATTCTTGAGGGCAGAGTCTGCATTTTATTTAATCTTTGTAGTCCAAGTCTAGTGCAGAGCCTGGCACATAAGGGGGAATTGGATTAAGTTGTGATTTCACTTTTGCTCTTTAAATGTGCCCCTCAGATAGCACGTGTTTATTGAGCATCTACTTGTCTGCCTTCCCCACGACACTACAAACCATGAGAGGGAAGAAATAGATGTGTATCCCATTCACCACTGTTGCCCTAGGGCCTACCACAGTTCCTGACCCATGGTAGGAATGTCACAGACCTCTGCTAATGAGTGAACGAATAAGGTTCCTAACAGACGAGGATGCTGTGTTCTCTGGCCTCCTGAAGCTGATCTCAGATTAGCAGTTCTCACCGAAGGCAGCCATGTTCACTGGAGTGTGTGACTGCAAACATCACTTAGCGTGCTACTTTGTCTCCTACAAGTCACAGTCCCGTGGGAGCTTTTCCCTAAACATATTTTTCTAAAAGTCTCGTTAGCGGAGCAGACACATACGTGCAGAATGGTTAGAGAAAACATGAGTTGGACTCCTGTGACATTCTCAAGCACGTGGTGCCAGCCACAGGCAGGAATGTGACAGGAAACGGTAATGTGAGGTGGACGTCTCAAGGAGAGAAAGCATGGGAAGGTCGGTTCTGAAGACAGGATTTGGATAGAAGACAGGGGAGCTCATCCAGGTTCCAGCGACGAAGTCATTTCCTGAGACCTCTTCTTTATCTGGACACTGTTGGTGGGAGGGATGAAAATGCCCCTTAGGAGGATTGGAATGTTCTCTTTTACTGACTGGAATTGGGGAAGGGGGCAGGAGGCTTTTCCTGTCCCTACTTAGACTTACAGCCGTGGTGGGTGGAATCAAATGAAACAATTCTTTTTTTTTTTTAATATTTTTTTAAAATTTATTTATTTGAGAGAGAGAATGAGAGAGAGAGTGAGCATGAGACGGGGGAGGGTCAGAGGGAGAAGCAGACTCCCCGCCGAGCAGGGAGCCCGATGCGGGACTCGATTCCGGGACTCCAGGATCATGACCTGAGCCGAAGGCAGTCGCTTAACCAGCTGAGCCACCGAGGCGCCCCTCAAATGAAACAATTCTATGTCCGCATTCTTCGCGGGTTTTAATTTTGTCTTTATGATGGAGAGTGGAAAAAAAAAAACAACTTTGGGAAAGTAATAAAGTAATATTAGTATTTATAGTTAGGCTGTAACTATTGTTAAGTAATAGAAAATGTGTATTGGCCCCGCCCCCTGGTTCTTGGTACAGAGCTCCTAAAGCCCGGGTAATTTTCTGAGTGATAAGAACACTAGGAACATCTTTTGTTCTAATATTTGGTCTTTGACCCTGGCTCGGGACACAGAGCTCCTAAATCCTTTGGAATTTCCTGGGTGATAGGAGTGTCTTTTGTTCTAATCGGTGACTCTTGATGGGCTTCTGGATGGGGGCTGGTCACCAGAAAGACCCAGCCATGATTGGAAGCTTGGAATTTTCAGTCCCACCCCTTCCCATTCTCTGGGAAGGGGAGAGGGACTAGAGATCAGGTTAATGATTGATCATGCCTATGTGATTAAAGCCTCCATAAAAATCTCCAAAAGTATGGGGTTCAGAGAGCGTCCAGGTTGGTGAGTGCATCCACATGCCAGGAGGGTGGTGCACCCCAAATCCAGGGCCCAGAAGCTCCTGCTTCCAGAACCATCCCAGTCCGGTCCATGCCCTATGTATCTCTTCATCTGGCTGTTTATCTGTATCCTTTACGGATCCTTTATTGTATAATAAACCGCTAAACATAAGTGTTCCCCTGAGTTTTGTCAGCGACTCTAGCAAGTTATCGAGCCCAAGTCCCAGTTTATAGCTGGTCGGACAGACGTACCAGTAACAACCTGGATTTTCTACTGGCTTCTGAAGTTGGGCAGGGCAGTCTGGTGGGACTGAGCTCTTAACCTGTGGCATCCGACACTAAACCCAGGGAGATGGTGTCAGGACTGAATTAAGTTGTAAGACACCCTGCTGGTGTCAGAGACTTGGTGGGTGTGGGAATAAACCCACATATTGGCGTCCGAAGTGTTGTGAACGTGGTAACTACCACTGTCACAGCGGAGGGGACACTCAGTGGTGTCTCTCCTATACAACTGTAAATATAATCGTTCCCATTGTTTTCGATAAGAAAACACAAAACAGATGTAATTGCCTAGTAGATGGACTGATACTTAACATTTACTCGCTGTGCACCACTGGTAGGTGCTGACAAGCCATTAAGTAGGATCATATCCTGTGTGGATGCGGCTCCCAACTGTGAGGAGTGTCTGACATGAAGCCCTACTCCTCTCTCTAAAGCTTTACGGGGGAAAAAAAAGTCAAGGCTATAGAACAGGCTTAAAGGATCAGGAAAATTGCTTAAAAAACTGGAAAGTCATATGTATGACAAAGGAAAGTAAATTCAAGGTGGGATTGATGTTAAACATTTAAAAAAATAACAGCATGAATAATTTCCTCTCCACTAAAAACATGCTCCTCAATTGTAGAAAGGATTTAAGTTAGACACTAATTATTTGTGCGTTCATTTAACAAATACGTATTGTGTGCTTGCTATGCTGTTGCTGTTGGTATTAATAAAACTTCCAGGGGCACTGGGCTGGCTCAGTCAGTAGAGCATGCGATTCTTGATCTTGGGGTCAGGAGTAGAGTTTACTTTAAAAAAAATTTTTTTTTTTTTTAAAGATTTTATTTATTTTTTAGAGAGCGAGCGAGAGAGAAACAGCATGAGAGGGGAGAGGGTCAGAGGGAGAAGCAGACTCCCCGCCGAGCAGGGAGCCCGATGTGGGACTCGATCCCAGGACCCTGGGATCATGACCTGAGCCGAAGGCAGACGCTTAACCATCTGAGCCACCCAGGCGCCCTAAAAAAATTTTTTTTAAACCCCACAAATTTCCACTTAGTTAGTGCCTTGTGCTTTGCCCTTTATATGCATTATCTCTTTTAACTTTCCAAACAACCTAAGTATTAGCATCTTTAATTTCCAGATGAGGGAAACATTAGAGAGGTTGTGCAACGTGCCCAAAGTCACACGGCTGGTGGGCTGTGGGCCCTGGATTGAAACCCAGGTGCATCTGGCTCCATAAGGCTGCTCTCACCCCAGCAATATGTGCCACCCAGTGCCTAACACTGACCTCTAGGCCAAGGGCAGCATTGAAAATGATTAGTTAGGGTCTCTGCCCTCCAGGAATTTTTAACTATAGCAAATACACTTCCATAGATGGCTCAGGATGGGCGCAGAGCCTTATGACAAGGAGAGTGGATACATGCAATGTGTTAAAATTTCAGAGTGAGTGATCCTTTATGAACAGGCTTAATGCACAGGTAGAATAATATGGCCTGAGACTTGAAAACAGTAAGCATTTCAGTTGGTGGCCTTGGTGAGGAGACAGTCCAGCCAGAAACGTTGTAAGTAATGGCTCAGAGGAGAGACAGTGCAAATGTATTCAGAGAACAGGAAGTTCATATAGGGAAGAAGTATTGGAAAAGAACATTAGATTCTCTTATTAAAGAGACTATATTTTATTCTCTGGGCAATGAGAACTCACTGAAGCTTTCTGAGCAAGGGACTGACCCGATGAAGACTGTCCTCGGTGTTCTGCCAGGGCAGTCTAATACAAGTGAGGCCTGGGATGGAGGGAGAGCGGTCTGCAGTAGTCTGGCAGGAATAAGGAAGGGTCTAAGTTAATGGGAAGCAGAGAGAAGAGAAAGGATGCTGGACACATGAAAGGATGTGAATCCAAGACCACAACTTATGAATTTGAGAACAAAGAAAAACAACGATTTCTTGGTGGGTCTTCAAAAGGTGTGTGTGTTTGTATGTGTGTATCTTAATTTATCCAGGTCTCTATAACAAAAGCACCATAGACTGGGTGGCTTATAAACAACATAAATTTATTTCTCACAGTCCTAGAAGCTGGGAAGTCCAAGATCAAGGTTGCAGCAGATTCATGTCTGGCAAGAGCCCACTTCCTGGTTCATTGACCGCCATCTTCTTACTGAATCCTCACATGGTTGTAGGGGCAAAGAAGCTCTCTGGGGTTTCTTTCATCAGGATGCTAATCCTATTCATGAGGATGTGCCCTCATGACCCAGTCACCTCGCAAAGGCCCCCCCCCCTTTAAATATCATCACCGTGGGGATTGGGCTTCTATATATGGATTTTTCAGGGACACAAACATTCAGTCTGTGGCAATACCCTTGCAACTCAAAACGTCTACAGACCAACAAGATTGGTACTGCCTGTGAGTTCACTGCACTTGGAGAATCTCTGACCCCACCTCACACCTATTGAATCATGTCTACCTGTTAACAAGATCCCTAGGTGATTCATAGGTGGTTTGGGAAGCACTGGTCTGTTTTCTTATAGAAATGACCTGTGGTCACAAAAAGTTAATGTTGATTGAATTTAACATAGTATAGAATTTAATACAGTATAGAATAAAGCTAATTCTATAATGTACGTCTGTATAAAATTAATAAAATAGTCTCTAATTTTGTGTTACACGAACTCAATTGGTAAGAGAAAAAGAAAAAAAAGAGGACAAATTGGCATAATCCAGGGTAGCCTGTCCATGGGTCCTCATCACAGAGGTCGGGCAGCTGGTCAGAGAGTGTGGCTGAGAATCAGAGCAGTAAACACTGGAGTAAGAGAGTTCCGGAAGCAGGCCACACAGCTGACCCTAGGGCTGTGCACTCGTGACGAACAACCAGGGCACCTGTGAAATTAAAAATCATGTTTGTAACACCAACAATGAAACATCAACCAAGGAAACACCCATGTCCAGAGTCCAGCG